AAAAAAAAAAAAAAAGAGAAAATATATCTTCTACTGAGGTTCTTAAATCACTGAAAATTCAGGGTGTGCCCCAGAAATGCTGTTGCTGAGTATGAACTAGATCCAAACCAGGCCACAAGTTTAGTTCAGTCAGGCTGCCTTAGGAATTTAAGATTTGCTGTCTTATCTTTTATCTTTTTTTAAAAAAAAATTAACCCTGTAGAGACTGGATTTCGCCATGTTACCAAATCTGATCTCAAACTCCTAGTCTCAAATGATCCTCCTGCCTCAGCCTCCCAAAGCACCAGGATTACAGGTGTGAGCCACCATGCCTGGCCAAGATTTACTCTTTTAAAAAAGTTATTTCTAGAAGTTAAAGGATAAAAGGCTACAGAATGTAACCTGAAGGGACTGGAGAGAGGAAAGATTGGATTTCTTAATATTTTACCTTTAGATGTGCTTGAGTGATGTAACACGAATTTAGCTTGCTTACCCCCTTCCCAGGAAAAACTAGCTCCCAAGGCTGGTAGCTTATGGGGTCATGAATGTATGTTTTACCAGAGTTAGGCTGTCATCATTCCTCTGTTTCACCTAAAGGGAAAATATCTGAATTATCAGAAATCACACATGATATGTATATATATATATATATATATATATATATATATATATATACTTTCAAGAATATCTTACTCTATTGTCTGAATCTAAAACTTAAGTGGTTTCTGGTAGCAATGTATTATTCTGATAGAAAAAAAAATCAATCATTTTATTGAAAACTTTTTTTTTTGAAACATAGTCTCGCTCTGCCACCCAGGCTGGAGTGTAATAGCGCCAACACAGTTCACTGCAGCCTCGAACCCTGGGTTCAACTTATCCTCCAACCTCAGCCTCCCGAGTAGCTGGCACCACAGACATGTGCCACAATACCTGGCTAATGTTTTGGTTTTTATTTTAGAGATGGAGTCTCACCATGTTGCCACAACCTTTTTAAAATAACCAATAATTGATTTGGGTGAAATTTGCTCCTTGATTCAGTACCACTATCCCTGGAGGAGTTCATATGAGAAAGGATCTACTCAGAGATGCTGCAGGAAGTCAATTACCACTGAGACATCCATCGTCACCCGGCTGTTTGAAGGGCAGCTCAGTTACCGCATCATATGTTTAAAGAGTGAGAAATGCACCTACAAGAACGAAGTTTTCACTCTCCTGTCACTCCCCATTCCATCCGAATGTGAATGCTCCCTTCAGGTAGGAATTCGGGATCCCTGGACACTTTGTCTTGCTATGCTCTCAGCCCTGGGTTTTCTCAGGGCTGTTTACTATATTTGTTTAGTATGAGAGATGGCTTTATAACTTTAATTTTAAAAGAAATAGGCTGGACGTGATGGCTCATGCCTGTAATCCCAGCACTTTTGGAGGCCAAGGCAGGCAGATCACCTGAGGTCAGGAGTTCGAGACCACCCTGGCCAACACGGTGAAACCCTGTCTCTACTAAAAATACAAAAATTAGTTGGGCATGGTGGCAGGTACCTGTAATCCCAGCTACTTGGGAGAGTGAGGCACAAGAATCGCTTGAACCCGGGAGGCAGAGGTTGTAGTGAGCCAAGATCGTACCATTGCTCTTCAGCCTGGGTGACAGAGTGAGTCTCTGTCCTAAATAAATAAATAAATGAAATAAAGAGGAAGTCCATGATGATGGTATTTTTTTTTAGGGATGTACTGGCCAAAAGTTACTATGAATTCAATTATATTTTTAAACGCACTCAACAAAATATCTGATTATAAAACTGGAAATATAGTGGGATTTATTCAGTCTATTGAAATAGCTTTGTGCATATAAGAAATTTACGATTTTTTCCAAAAAGTTTATGACCCTCCCTCACCCCAGAGGGGTCTGTAAGGCCCAGACTGGGAACTAGCTATAAAACATTCTAGACTCAGGCCAGGCGCAGTGGCTCATGTTCGCAATCCCAGCACTTTGGGAGGCCAAGGCAGGTGGATCACAAGGTCAAGAGATCAAGACCATCCTGGCCAACATGGCAAAACCCCGTCTCTACTAAAAATACAAAAAGTAGCTGAGCATGGTGGCACGTGCCTGTAGTCCCAGCTACTCGGGAGGCTGAGGCAGGAGAATTGCTTGAACCCAGGAGGGGGAGGTTGCAGTAAGCTGAGATTGCATATTGCACTCCAGCCTGGCAACAGAGCAAGACTCCATTAAAAAAAAAAAAAAATTCTAGACTCTTAGTCTTGAGCTCTTATATTTTGGACTAAAGCTGTGAAATGTTTTGGAAAGAGAGAATGGAATCTAGTGCCTTGGTTTACCTCTCGAATTTTCTTCACCGTAATGCCAAAAGTTCATCTGTAAGTGGGGATGTGGGCATGGGGTGGGTGGCAGTAGAAGGCAGGCAGCAATAAGGAGTAAACAAGGGGCAGACACCAAAAAAGTTTTCTTGCAGAATTATACAAATGTGTATTTTTTCTTCCTAAATTATAATAGCACATCTATTGCTGAAAGTTTCACTTACCAGAATTGGAGAATAGAATCCTATTACTTATTCAGCACTGGGCTTTATTTCTCAGCTCAAACTGCTAAAGATTGCTGGAAAGGGCCGGGCGCGGTGGCTCAAGCCTGTAATCCCAGCACTTTGGGAGGCCGAGGCGGGTGGATCACGAGGTCAAGAGATCAAGACCATCCTGGTCAACATGGTGAAACCCCGTCTCTACTAAAAATACAAAAAATTAGCTGGGCATGGTGGTGCGTGCCTGTAATCCCAGCTACTCAGGAGGCTGAGGCAGGAGAATTGCCTGAACCCAGGAGACGGAGGTTGCGGTGAGCCGAGATTGCGCCATTGCACTCCAGCCTGGGTAACAAGAGCAAAACTCTGTCTCAAAAAAAAAAAAAAAGATTGCTGGAAAGAAATTCCACATACTCTTAAGTAAAGTGCTAATGGGTCCGCTGCAAACAAAATCTGTGCTCATCTTCTTCTTCCAGTTAATCGTTTGCAGAACCAAACACCTAGCCACATTGAGGATATCTCCTGTGTATATCGGATCTAATTTATCTCTGTTCTGCTGTCTTTATTATAGGCCACCCCCAAACCCTGAGAGTCATTTTTGTCACCAGATCACTTTAGCAATGATATGAATGTCATAAAACAGCTGCCTGATTTCACTGGTGAAAATTGCAAAGTCAGTAGTATTCTGAAAAAAACAGAAAAGTTAAAAATGCTGATTTATAGGCTGGGCATGGTGGCTCACACCTGTAATCCTAGCACTTTGGGAGGCTGAGGCGGGCAGAATCACTGGAGGCCAGGAGTTTGAGGCCAGCCTAGCCCCATCTCTACTAAAAATATAAAAATGAGCTGGGTGTGGTGGTGCTCGCCTGTAGTCCCAACTTCTCAGGAGGCTGAGGCAGGAGAATCGCTTGAACTGGTAGGTGGAGGTTGCAGTGAGCCAAGATTGTGCCACTGCACTCCAGCCTGGGTGACAGAGCGAGACTCCATCTCAAAAAAAAAAAAAAAATGCTGATGTATAGATTATAAGTGAGGTAGGCACTCAACTGCATTTCAGTAACGAGAAAGAAACACTTCCTAGGTGGACTTATGGGTAACCAGCTCCAGCTAGTGAGACTGTTATCTTCTGGACTTGTTGACTTTGAGAAAAGCACTGAGGATTACATTTCCACAGCACTTGCAAAATTCCAATAGAAACAGAGAGTGCAGGCTGTTGTTGATCCAATTTGGTCACCAAATCCTTTTTTTCCGTAACAGGACTATCTCCAATGTTTTTTCAACAAGACACACTAACCTGAAACAACCAAATTCACTGCTCCTTTTGTGAAACCAAGCAAGAAACCGCTATGAGGGCCAGTATTTCCAAAGCACCAAAAATAATTGTTTTTCACCTAAAAAGGTATGGATTTTTTTAGCTTTGTACAGTGGCAGTATCATAGCCAATGAGGTTTATCCGAAGCGCAATTATTGCTAATTGAAAACTTTTCCTAATACCCCGCCGTGATGACTTGCGCAATACAGTCGGCACTGGCAATTTTTGACAGTCTCTACAGAGACTGATAATAAAAAAAATAAAAATAAAAAATAAAGGTATGGATTTTTACATTTTGTGGGCACATATTTTTGAACAGCCTTATAGAAACATAATTCACATGCCAATAATTCACCCATTTAGAGTGTACAATTCAATAATACTTGGTATATTACATTATTATTTAAAATATGATAAAATATATACAGTATAACAAAAAGTTTGCCATTTTAGCAATTCTAAGCTACAATTCATTGGCATTATTTATTTACAATGTTGTGCAACAATCATCACCATTTCCAAAACTTCTTCATCACCCAAACAGAAACTCTGTAACCTTTAGTAACACACATTCCTGCTCTCCCGGCTGCTGGTAAGATACTTCGGTAAAGGTCTGTTAAGGTTTTGGCCTATTTTAAAAATTGGGTTGTAGATTTTCTAATTGTTGAGTTTTATAAGATTTCTTGTACATTTTCTGTTCTTTCTTTCTTTTCTTTTTTTTGTTTTAAACAGAGTCTCGCTTTATTGCCGAGGCTGGAGTGCAGTGGTGCAATCTCGGCTCTTGCAGCCTCTGCTTCCCTGGTTTGAGCCATACTCTTGCCTCAGCCTCCTGAGTAGCTGGGACTACAGGCACCCGCCACTACACCCAGTTAA